AACAGACTGTTGTTCATTTATCTTACCCCCCCCCCCCCCCCCCCATTCCGCTCATATCTCCCCCAGGGTGAAAGTCTAATCTCAAGGTTATGATCTTCTAAATTTAATAGAAGACCAGTCTATCGGAACGAGTATAAAATAGCAATGTAAATCATCGCAGTAGCGCATCCAGGGTTTTGATAAATGGAAATACTTTAATGGAAAGAGAGAATGATATAGAGTCATAAGAAGTGTTTTAAAGTACAATTAGAGATCGTACCGGTTCATTTGTGTGCATTTTGTAGTAGAAAAAAATCGAAAAATAGTTCGAAAGAAAGAAATAATTGTCTTCAGTGTCTCTCTCTCTCAATCATCAAATCGATTAGTTGATTGCTTTTCGCTGTTTAGTAGTTAGTTCTTTTGTATATCTAATTTCGTTTGTTCTATATGTTTTCTTTTAACAAATAAACGAGTTTCTTTTTCGACCTTGAATAAATGTGTACACAAATTGACATTAATGAGAAACAGCTGTTCAAGAACTGACTCACAAAACATAGACATGCTTTAATACCATTTTGTTATGGAATTATACACAGTCTAGAAATAAAACAATTTAAATTTTTATTAAGTTAACAGAACTATGCATATGTCATTAACTGAAAAATAAGACATTTCATAAAACCTGAACGAAAATCAATTGAAATTATTCAAGAATTTATCGAACTCCCAAAAATAAGTGTCAATATGAAATGAACATGATATTCACTATTTAAAGATTGGCAAAATCTGAAGTATCTATTTTCATAAAAATGAGAAACTCTTATTTGTTAGTAAACAATTTACTTAATACTTCTTTCAAAAAATAATTGAAAGATATATCTTCTTGCATTTACTAAGCTGTACATAAGCTTCTAGGATGACATCATCTATCAAAATTGTATAGAAGTTAATTTTACTGAATTTTGTTTTTGTCTAGATGCATCATCAACAACATCAAATTCATCAACAACAAAACCTGGTTCTGTTGTTCGTGTCTATGATCAAACATCATCAAATTATATTCCATATTGTAGTATGAATAATGCCCAATTATCGTTTCATGGTTATCGAGATGCTGTGAAATTTTTTGTTGCTGTACCTGGTCAACCACCATCAAAATTACTTCATGATGATGAATCATTAAATTCAACATTAGCTTCAAATACAACCGATACATCGACATTAGCTTTTGGTGATATACTTGTTGTAAGTGGTGGTGATGGTTATATTGATTTTCGTATTGGAGATTCAACAACAGATAAACTTGATGATGTAAATAATAGCAATAGAAATATATCATATCTTATTGTTTGGCATTTGGGTTCGAGTTAAATAATGATTAATTTACTTCCGCATTTTATCGCGTACATATATAAATATATTTTTTCACCTAGTCAGAGAAAGGAAAAAATGATCGATACTCTTTTTCTTCGTTTTTTTTTGTTTACAGTGATGTAACAAAACGCGATAAATTTCTCTATAAATGTATTGATAATTAATATTTACACTTCATATTTCCTGTCCTATTCTAAAAATTTATTATTTATTCTCGTTATTTCATTGTGTTTACACTCTATTTTATTTGTTTTGAAAGCAAGAAAACAAATCTGTTGTTAATTGGTTTTCATTTTGATGCTTGGACAGCTTTTAATACATATATATATAGATGATTTCTTTTTGTGAACAAAAAAAAACAGAAGAAAAAATAGAATTTTCAAAATATGTTTTACTGTTTTGTTTTGTTTTTGTTTTTCTCTTTTTTTTTTTCATTTTTTTTCTTTGGATTTTATTTTTTCTTGAAATTTTCATTTAATGTAATGAATTAAGCTGATGAATCAATATTAAGTTGTTCGAGTGCGAGAAGTGTATCAGTCATTTTATCTTTAAGATCATCTGGTATAAGATGAGGTCGTATATTAAGTATTTCACTAATTAATTCATCAAAACCATTTTCGATTGATTCAATTAAGACTTCACGGACTATTCGATCCGAACATTTTGGTGATTCGATTAGTAATTTCGAACAGTCTAAATCTCGTTTATAAGTTGTAATCACCAATGGATGAGGATAATTTTCATTTGACTGTTCAATAGTTGCATTAAATGCTAGTAGTAAATAGAGAATATTTGCTTGTCCATTAAAACAAGCTAGATGAATTGGATAACATTCATCATGATTAGGTCTATCAGGATAGGCACCTTGTCGTAGTAAATAATCGACTAATTCATAATCATTTCGTTCAATAGCCATAAGAAGTGGTGTTTCACCCGAATTAGTACATTCATTTAAATCAAAATCTCCATATTGACAAAGAAGTTCGACAAGTTTTATTGAACATTTATCTGAATAACAAGCAGCATGTAGAGGATTTGTTCCTATGAGTATAGAAAAACAAAATCAAATTTTCCTTTTTTCTACAATCAAATAAAAGAATCATTACCTTGACTTGTTTTCCAATCAAGTTTTGCTTTAGCCTCAAGTAATAATTGTAGACATTCCACTGAACCACAATGACAACAAGCATAAATAGGATTGAAAATAACGCCATCCTCATTTTGATCTAAAATAATTTATTTTATTTTATTTTTTAATCTCTTAGCAGTTTTTTTCCTTCATCATTTTTAACATACCAAATTCATTAACATCAAGTCCTATTTGAATTAATTTTTCAAGTATATCTTTATATCCATAAAAAGCTGCAGCTGTTACATATGATGGACTTTTTTGATCATCAAGTTTAGCTCCATAATTACATAAAAGTGTAACAATATCCAAATTACCCGATTCAATAGCGTACATTAAACATGTTTCACCTGAATTGGAACGTTCATTAATGATTTTTAATGTTGATGCATCATCCACAGTTTTTTGTTCATTCAGTAAATATTTTACCAGTAAATAATTTCCACTTGAACATGCATACATAAATGGTGTAAGACCATCATGATCAAATGTATCAATTGATGCACCATGTGAATATAAGTATTTAACTATTTCAAGACGTTGTTCAAGTTTTTCAATAATTGCTTCATTTGACGGACTTATACGACGTGCATTATGTTCACTTAATAAACCACGACAAACAAGATGAACTAGAATATTAAATAAAAAAATGGTCTTGTTTAGAACTTTCTATAAAATTTTGTTTTTTTCTCCTTTAACCTATAGAAGATAAGTTTTCTATTCCGGAATCTATAAACTTTTATTACAGGAAGTTCATCAAGCATTACTTATATAACAAAGAAAAACCTTACTATTATACAAGAAACCATTATCTGACATATTTTTTTATTAATGATTCGCCTGCTGAGTAATTATTGGATGGTTTATTTATAGGTTTTTTCTTTCCTTTTTTTTTTTATATATTTTAATTTTGACATGAAGATTTTCTGTTTTTTTTTTCAGATTATCTGATGTGGAAAATCGTCTTTTTTTATTCATTAATATTTAATATCTAATAACAAATTTCCTGTCTAAAAATGGTAATGAATATGTATGCATAACGTTTGATCATCTCCGCGCCAAGCTAGATTATTATAATTTTGACCTTGATTTGACATATACATAAAAGTTTTTTCTAGTTTGTTTTTTTCTATTAAACTTGTTATTAATATATATATATATTATTCAATAACCTTTTTTATCCCAGGAGATATTTTCATTGCACTTCTCACTTTCTTTTTATAGGATATCCCTTGATAATAAACTATTAATAAAATAAAACTTATTTTATTAATAGAAGATAACCTTGAAAGATAGATGACTATAAGTCTTAATTTTTCTCACCTGGTGATCTTTCATCATTTTGAGTTCCATTAACATTTGCTCCATTTTCTACGAGAATTTTAACAATTTCAAAATTACCATAAAAACATGCTTCTAAAAAAAGAAGTTTCTTAAGATGAAAGTGCTTTTATTTTTCTCTTATCAAAAATTTTACCGCATAAGGGTGTATATTGTAAACTGTTTATTGCATTGACATTAGATTTATATTCAAGTAATAATTGAACAACATGTTCATTAGTAAATTTAGATGCCCAATGTAAAGCTGTATCTTGACGTGATGTGACTAGATTAACATCAGCACCGGCTGCTAATAAATATTTCACAGTATCAGTTGTTTCATCAACAATATTTTCAGGTCCAATACCACACGCAAAATGTAATGGAGTAATACCTAAATAGAAATTTGAGATTATTTTATTTGTTTTTCTTTTATCTATATTAATAATAAATATACCGGATAATTGATCATTTTTCACAAATGTACATGTTTGATTTGGATCTGCTTTTCGTTCGTCAAGAAGAAACTTAACTAGATTTGATAATGCGTAACCAGATGCAGCATGTAATATTGTTAAATTTGGTATACCACTATAGATAACTTCTCGATCAAGTAATTCTTCAAGAAAATTTAATTCATTTTGTTTATAAGCTTGAAGAATAATTTCAGTACATAAACGCATATCTTGTGAACGTGAAAGATCTAATAAATGATTTAGTTCAATATCAAATTGTGTACGATCATCTTGATAAAATGTTCGAATTAATAAATCGAACGAAGAATTATTATTAATGTTGTCAGACATTTTATTTGTGTTTATCTAAAAGCATAAGGAAAAAGAAAAGAAAAATAGTGATGAATGAATACTTATTTGCTGTAGAAAAGGAAAGGTCTTTTTTTTTAGTCATAAAAATAACTCTTCTCGCTCGCTCTCTCTCTCACACACACACACACACTCTCTTTCCTTGTGTTGATAGTTCTTTACTTTCTCTACTTCAGTGCGTGTGTGTATGTGCGTGCACAAGCCGTTGTCAAAGAAACTTAACGGCATTGTTAATGACTGAACTCAAAGAATGAATAAGAAAATAGATGTACCATGTAATTTTGGGTCACATGTATCTGTCGCTTCTTAACACTTATCTTCTATTTTAAAACATATTCTCTAGACTGTTTACATGATCATTTAAAAATAAAGATGATAGGAAACTATCTTCAACAGACAATATATTTCAATAATAATAGTACTAATGCAGACACTCTGCCAATTTCCTATGCAAGTGCGTGACAATCGAAAGAAAAGAGAAAAAACGCACTGGCCATAGCCAAAGGAGCGCTTGAGTCAATTTGATTACATCAGTGTCTTTCTCTTCTTTGTTCTTGTAACAAACATTGAAGCAAAGAAAAAAGGAAAAAAAGTCTATGCAAATAAATGCGGAAACATCCGCATGTCCGAATTACCAAACAGTCGTCGATCTCTCTTCTGTCTTTTCCCTCACTACATTGAATTCTAGACTGATGATCTTTTTTTTCTATCTATCTCTCTCTCTCTCGCTCTTTCTTTCTTTCGTTCTTTCTTTCTCATGAGAACATAAAAAAACGAGAGTTGATGGGAGATGAGAATGTCTATGACAACAACAAAATTAACAATTCTAGTATAATTTGAATGAATAGATAAATGATGAAATGTCTTTTTTTGACTATGATACTTTTTTTTCATTGCTTTCAATCGTCATATTCATGTCTTTAGATATAAATATATATATATATATGATTGCATTTGATCGACAGACACACTTGTCAAAATATTGGTTTCTTTATGGAATTTTTTTTTCTATTATATTAGCTTTTATTTATCCTGAATTTGGCTCAAAAGAAGGTCATTATTAATAAATATAACAATCAATCAAAGATAAAAATAGAAATAAAAATATTCTTTTTGTTTTTGTTTCTGTTATCTAGGTCCATTAAAACCTGAATGGACAATAAAATCATTAGGAACAATAATAATTTTTTTATTGAATGGTTGTTCAATAAGACGCGAGGTGAAACAAAAGGATTTAAATTAATCTTTGAATAAGATTTATTTTTATTCATTTTTATTAAAATAGGAACTTTATCGAACAGTTCTTCAATATCGAATTCATTTATTTATTCAAATATTTTCATTTCTCATTTGTCCTTTTCTATTTACAATATTGTCTACTATCTATCGATCATTAACATATCAATACCAAGTTGCTATTGGGTAGAATTTCTTTTGATCCATCTCATCAATCTTATTGTTTTATTTTTAGAATAAAAGCATTAGGAACTTTACCATCACCAGTATCTACTGCCGCTTATGTTGTTCGAGCTATTGGTGGAAATGAAGTAAATTAAAAAGAAAAAGAAAATATTTCTTTTTTTATAACAAATTTATTATTTAAGGCAATTGCTATGCTTAATTCAACTCTAGGTAGTCTATTAGGAACAATCCTTACACCTATGCTTCTCTACATGATGGTTCGGTATTAAAGAGTGTTTTCATGTTTTTTTTTATTCAATAGAAAAAATATATATGTTTTGCATCAATAGCTCGGAGGAACATCTTCCAGTGGACAACATTCGTTTATTCATGTGCTTATATCACTTTCAAGTACTATTTTAATGCCACTTGGTATAGGACAACTTTTACGTGTCCATTTTCCACTTGCTATCAATCGAATAATGCCATATGCAAATACAATTAATAAGTAATCCATTATGTTTATGATATGTTTAGATAAATATATGTTTTTATTGGTATAGTTGGATATTACTTGGCAATATTTATATAACATTTTGTCAGACATTTCAGCAACATAGTCCATTAAATTTAACATTTATTGATTTTTTAATTCTTCTTATGACAAGTATGAAGATGAAATAAATAATTATTGATTTATATATTTAAATTTATTTTTATTTTAGTTCTTAGTATACAAATTTTTTTAATCATTCTTTTGTTTTTTGCTTGTCGAAAAGTTCATGTTCGTCCTAATGATACAATTGCTATTGTATTTTGTGGTAGTCAAAAATCATTAACTACTGGTAGGATATTTAATGAGAATAGAATTAAACAAAATGATTTGGTTTTTGTATCTATAGGAATGCCTATTTTACAAATGATTTTTCCTGAAAATATTTCAATAACTATACCATTATTAATCTATCATCCAATGCAAATAATTATAGGAAATTATTTAACATCAATATTTCAACGTTGGTTAAAAGATGCGAAATATCAATGGTTAGTTATTTGAATTATGAAATGTTATTATAAATGACTTTATTAATTTTTTTTCTAGGCATCATCGAATTAGTGGAAGAGTTTAATTGATCTTATCTTGTTTTTTTTTTCTCTTTGTTATGTTGTTAAAGATCAAAAAATAAAGAATATTAAGTTCAGAGTTGTATTTTTGTTTTTCAGATCATTATTTTTAAGAAAATGTCGACTCCATCTCGTCTTCGTTTGATGCGAGATTTTAAACAGTAAATTATATGATTTCTATTTTTGAAAAAAAAAGTCATTTTCTTTTTTTCAATATTTAATAGACTACAAAAAGATCCACCAGCTGGAATTGCAGCTGTTCCTTCAGATGATAATATTCTTATTTGGCATGCTTTTATTTTGGGGTTAGTCGAAGATAAACACACAAAAAAATAAAGTAGTTAAATTCAGAAAAAGAATTTTATATTTTCTTTTAGACCAAGCGATACACCATTTGAAGATGGAACATTTCGATTATTATTAGGTATACATCTCGGGAACTAACCGAATTGATACCCACTGTTTGAATACATATTGCGCTTACAAGGAACAGATCTCCTTGTGAACTTAATATGACCTCAAACGATGGGTGGTTCTTTTGCAAGATTATCGAATTTCTTTACTGATATTAAATGTCTTTTAGAATTTACGGAATCTTATCCAAATAAACCACCATCGGTTCGATTTACATCAAAAATGTTTCATCCAAATGGTAAAGCTTTTGTTTTTTTTCTTCTTTTATCATTTTCAAAGAAGTATTTATAATTACTAGTCTATGCTGATGGTGGAATTTGTCTTGATATTCTACAAAATCGTTGGTCACCTACATATGATGTTTCAGCTATTTTGACTTCAATTCAAGTAAATATTAATATTGAATATTAAATGAAAATTTTCGTGTGTTTTTTTTTTACTTATGAATTTTATTTTAGTCGTTACTTGATGAACCAAATGTTTCATCACCAGCTAATTCTGAAGCAGCAACTCTTTATCAAACAAATCGACGTGAATATGAAAAACGTGTTAAAATGACAGTTGAACAAAGTTGGAATGCTGAACCAACACTTGCGTCTAATCTTCGAGCATCATAGGAAATCTTCAATATTTGCTTTGTCATGCATTTGTCAAATAAACTCGATTGTATAAATGTTGTTTTTCTTTCTTTTTTGTTAATTATCAAATGAGAAATTTAAATGATATTTATCGGAATATGTCAGTGTTAAATATTGATTCAATTTATATGTATATTCATAATTTATGTTTGTTTGTGGAAAGATAAAATCCTATGATCGTATCTCGTTTCATATTTGACAGAATGTTCATCTTTGATGTGGTATGATATTTACTAAAAAAATAAAAAATTTATTGTAGACATAAAACCATAAATCTACTTTTTATTCTTTCTATCCTTTGTAATCAAGAAAGACAATCCTTGTGTACATTCTTTGGCATGAATCTTTGCATGATAAAAGTAGATTGGAAATGTTACAAATTCACCCTGTATTTGATATATTTTGTTTGTCGTCTGTTTTTGCTTCCATTACTTTGTGAATTAAAATATAAATATAAATTCTTTTATAAATTAATATTTTGCTCACTCAGACCTGTTTTATACAGTTGATACGGGCAGTTTTTATAGAGTTTTCTTTTTATTAAAATGAATGAAGTAGTGAATATATAGTTCATAAGAAATACATGTAGACAAATAAACAACGTTAACTACCCATGTAATTCAAACAGGGGCAAAATCAACAATAAACCGTTCTGTATAATATTTGCTATATCGGTGATAGTGGTAACAAACTAGCCACATGAGTAATAATAATATAAGAGTCTATATGTATTTTCAATAATTTTTCTTTAGTATAGATTGAAAAACAATTTGATACTTTTCTAATTGTTCTAGATATTAAGTTTATAAGTTTTATGACGTGTTTCATAAATTCTTTTTAATGAATGCGTTGAGAGTAGTGTCCTGCGAGTATGATATTTTTTTCCCGTTATTCTCGTCTCGTTTCCCGTAGGAATCGGGAACAGAAACAATATTAAGAAATGAGCGTTCCCGATAATCGTTCTGTTTTATTTTATTTTTATGTATGTACTCTCCAAATTTAGCTCTTTCATACAAAAAATATCCAAGTCAAAATTCGATCTTAAATTATTGAGAAATACATTGTGACATTTTTACAAAGAATGTTACATTGTCTATTAATCAAAAGAAAAATGAATAAAAGAAACTTATCAATAAAACTTACACAAGTTCATTCATGATCTATTAAATCATGCCCTTGAAAGCATCATCATTCAGATTATTTCACAATAAAGTATTATTATAATCTTCTCGCCTGCCATGTTTTGTTATTTCCCTCGGTGTTGTTGATAAATATCAACGTATACAGAATAATGAATGCATTTTACTAAAATGTACCTCGAATGATAATTTTATTTTTTAATTTAAGGTCATATGACATTGCACAAAGTGCGACCTTGACACAAGCTAATGTCTGGTAATAATAGTTTTTCTGAAACACAAAAAATAAAACCATAATAGGAATTCTGAAAGCATAACGCGAACGGCAATATGAGAAAAGTCGTTCTCGTAGGACACTAGTTGAAACAAGTTATGTCAAAATTAATTACTCTTGTTTTCTTTTTGTGTACTCAAAAAGTGAGTACACTCTAGAATCGGTCAGTATGTCCGGCCGTCCGGCCGTTTACACGATAACTTTCGAAAGGAGAGTCAGATCATGATGAAATTTTCTACACAGTTCAGTCTTAACAATGTCTCGGTCGAGTTCGAAGATGAGAAGGATCCGTCACGAAATGGCTGAGTTATCGAAAAA